TCATAATTTGTGTAAAATTGTCTTTAAATAATTGTCATGCTTTTGATTTATTTATTTAAATGTAATAATTAAAAAATTGTTTTAATTTTATAGTGGCACTATTCATATTTTCGGTTGGATTTTCGTATTTTCATAAGGCTGAAAATGTGGGGCAATAAACTTTTGAGAAGTAGTAAAAATAAATTATAAGAAATTGTAAAACTTTTCCAAAACCACCTACAGTTACACAAAAGGGGAAAAAGGGTTAGATATGGTTGTTTTTGTAAAAAAAAAAAAAATACAATAACAATAAAAACCTTCCCCTGAGACTTTTGCAGTATGTGAAATGTATTAACAGTGTGCAAGCTGTATGCTAGCCATAAAACAGGAATAGTTTTCACGGCCATAAAAAATGAAAATTTATTTTTTCATGCAGATGGAAAAGACAAAGGACACTTATGCATTTGATTGCAAATCTGCTCAGGAACAGCTGTGAGGCTGAAAAACTGTCTATCCCATCCATATCAACAATGTTTAGTGATGCATTAGAAAGAAGTTTAGAGAAAAGGGAATTGGATCTCAGCAAAGTCAGACAAGATATGAGCCTATATATATCAGCGCACCATAACAAAGGAGAAAATAAATCACTCTCATTATGAAAGGGAAAGAAGACACTATCTGAAACATCCAGTCCCATTACATGCTGCATATGTAATATACATATTTATGCAAACAACCCTTTTTTATCCATATCTCATTAATATATTTTATGTCAATGCTGCTTGTTAAACAAAGTGGTGTGTACTCAGCTATTCATGAAGTCTGCTGTATATTTCCGCTCACGTTTACCTTAATCAATACTGATGTTACAGGAGTCGTCGGTTTCTAAGATGAAAGTTATTAAGTGATAAACTGCAACATGAAACGCTGATGCTTATTTCTAGAACACTTTATGGTGCATCTAAACGTGTGTAATAGGCCTTCAATGTGAGTTAGAGGATGAGGAAGCTCTTAGCACTGCCAAAGATAATTATGATGATGATGCTGATGAAGATGGTAAAGACTATGGAGCGATCAAGCGAGGGAATGTTTGTTTGTTTTTCTTAGTGAAGACAAACAGCTTTAATGCTTTCCAACCACGTACAGCAGCCATGTGTAAATGGGAGGATTTGCATTCCCTCATGCATATACTGTATGTCTTCTCAGTGCACACAGAGCTTCATAAAGCCTGGCTGATGAGATTTGTTTGCTTAGGCGATGTACGAGTTTATCTTAATTTTTGCTTTGCTGGAAATGTACTGTACAGTTGGAAAGATAACTTTTGCAGTTTTATGATAGAGAGTTCATGTATTGCATAATGAAGTTCTTGGACAAGTTATTTTAAATAATTTTACTTTTTATTTGTATCATTCTTTTCTTTCTTTCTTTCTTTCTTTCTTTCTTTCTTTCTTTCTTTCTTTCTTTCTTTCTTTCTTTCTTTCTTTTTTTTCTTTCTTTCTTTCTTTCTTTCTTTCAACGTAGTTCCTCCATACCATGATACCATGAATGGTGATGATGATGATTATTTTCTTTCTTTCTTTCAACGTAGTTCCTCCATACCATGATGATTATAATGGTGATGATGATGATTATTTATTAGTATATTTTTCATTGTGTTTATTTATTTTTTAACTGATTTATGCATTCATGAATTTATTATTATTATTAATAATAATTAGTATATTTTTCATTATGTGTTTGTTTATTTATTGACTGATTTATGCATTTATGCATTCATTATTATTAATAATAATAATAATAATAATAATAATACATTTAAATACAGTATATATATATATATATATATATATATATATATATATGAGGTTGTTGATTGTGGTATATACGGTAATCCCATAAATTTTATGCTTACATAAAAAAAATTATGAATGTAATTGCTTTAGATCAAACTAAGTAGCTTTAATCAATTTTAAAGCATTTTTTAAGGAGTAAATAGATATATTTTTCAAAATGAAAACAAAAGGGGTTTGAACTCAAATGTCATTTGTTTTGTGATTCTACATAGTTTGATGTTTTATAGTAATGCACTGAAATTAGTACATTTTTAAAAAAAAGTGTGAATTAAGTGCCCAAATGCTTTTTTGAGTGCCACTATAGAACACCATGTCCAGAAACAGAAGAAGTGGACTAAAGTGTGTTTGTACTACGGGAAGTGTAGTATTTCAGAGGGTCAGGTGGTCCTCAGCATTGTTACATACTGGACCACCTAGACACCCAGTTCTCTTGAATGATAGATGTGTTAGTTGATTCATGTTGACGGAATTGACGAGGTACATCAGAGGCAAGAGAGATACAGCAAGTGTGGCTCATGAAAGTCCCAGCCACGCTCCACTTACGCACCCTTCCCTGTGGGCACCACACTCCTACAGCGCATAACCGAGGGGTAGGTGGACCAGAGTGATGATGATAATGATAGAAAGGAGGAAGACGTACGGTCTCAATATGCACAATAATTCCCTTGTGCAAAGTTAAAATATTTCCATAGTAAAAAAATGCATTTCAGAAGAGATATTTGGAGGTCAGTGGCAATATGTGGAATGTTTGTCTTCACCAAACCAAAACTAATTATTATGAAGTTTCATATTGCTGCTGGCATATTGCTCATTTCACAAAGGTTGGAAGTGTTTGTTTTTCATCTTCTATTTAGATTCAGATGCATTTCTGATGTCAGTCCAAATTTAAGAGACACAATATATTAATATAAACTATAGTGTGTTTATGTAATGTCTTAATATAACCTTTATTGCATTTGCCTTTATGTATAAACCTTACTTGAGTGTGTAGCAGTGTGGTACATTAAATATGAATATATCCAAAGGCCTTTTTAGTGACTACATTCGTCACAGATGTGATCTCTCAACCAGACACTCTCCGTTCCAGTGAAATAGCACAATAACATTCTACCAGATGCTTCACAGTTACTGATCTACTGACAAACAGAGGCTATTTTCATGTTTATTCATAAAAAGTTGACAAGGAAGACTTAAACTTGCAACGTCTTACACTCTAAGGAATAGTTCACCCAAAAATGAACATGTGTTAATACGAGTTCTGTATGCATAATATTGCTTTCTCCAGTGAAAAAGTAATCTTGTCTGAATCAGGAGAGAAATATGCACAGATCAAGCACCCTCTACAAGCAAAAATGGTTCTAAACAAATATGTTGGTGGATTTTGTTTTGAGAGGACAACAGGGGATGGACTTTTTCTTTGGAGGAAGCTTTATTATGGATTATGGACTGGAATTTTGGCCAGAAACAGGTTTAAAGTTAAAATGGCTTAATGATTGATTTGTTTCTTGCAAACAGGCATAATATACTTATTGATGGACTGGAGTCGTGTGAATTACTTGTGGTTTATTGTGATGTTTTTATCAGCTGTTTGAACTCATTATGACGGCACCCATTCACTGCAGAGGATCTATTGGTGAGCAAGTGATGTAATGCAACATTTCCCCAAATCTGCTCCGATTATGAAACAAACTCATCTACATCTTGGATGGCCTGAGGCTGAGTACATTTTCAGTAAATTTTGGGTGAACTATTCCTTTAAGGACAAAAATATTACTCAGAATCACATCAGCTCATGCTCTGCTAGGTGTCTGAGCCCCCTAAATCCCCCTTGAATATTCTAGATTTGCCCCTGCATGCTTCTGGGATTTTTATCTGATCTTGTTGTTTGGGTCAGAAAGTGGTCAATAGCTGTTGTTATGAGCAGGAACGTAATCTATATTCAGTCACTACTATATACCAAAACAGCCATATTTATGTAACACTTGCTTTGACTCAATCATAGGTTTGCTCACTGGTGTTAAAAGCAAAGCAATGGACGTATTTACTAATGCACAAACAAGCCACTTCTAAATTTTTTAAGAGTTCATGATTTATAAATCAGATCGCTGTTATCGCTCATGTCGGGATATGTTTATTTCTGTGAAGCATACTGAGAAGTCTGCTGCTTTTATGGTGTTAGGTGAGACCGTTTGCTTTTGTCCACGGACACACATTCTTTTCATATTGTGAAACGTCTTATTACGTACTTGACAATCTTTTTAAGCAGAAAATCAATCAAACATGGCAAGGACGACATTGTTCTACCTCCAAACGCTATTCTACAGGGGTATTTTAGAGACGCAATTGGAACAAGCCTGATTTCTTTTTCTACTGAGACATTACTTGCTCCCATGTTTTGACACCGTGCCTTTTCTTCTTCCTTTGAGGCCTGAGCGTTCCTGGCAGTACGAGGACAAAATCATTCTGTAATTACTGATCCTGTCATCGGGTGTTAATTGCGAGTGACCTCCAGGGCTGTTTATAATTATGCAGTTCTGCAATAACTGCTAATCTCCTAGAAACAGAATATTTCAAAAGCCTTGAATAATGTATTTTTTCTCTGTGCAATATTCAGTAAAGTGCAATCTGATACAAAATGAGGCTTCTTTCAAATCGAGATCATTGTTGTTAATCCAAGTCAGAAACTGAATGTTTTGATTTGCTGTTGTTTTTCCTTCTGTATAGACATTGATTTTTGTTGTCTGTTTCTGATGCATTTAGTCTGACCTTTTTTTTCACTTGTGCCTCTGGTTTTAAGAGGTCTTTAACCCACTTTGCTATACAGTTACAGTCAGTCGGTGTGAGATGCTGGTGATGAGTGCTAAATACTGTCTATCTATCTATATGAAATGTTGCCTTACTGACTAACTGAAACAAAATAAGTTGAAGTTAAAGTACTAATTGCTAAAACTAAAATAAAAATGTATTCAAACTAAATAGGCATGTTACAAAAGCGAATAAAATGACAATAACACATAACAAAATTACTTAAATTTAAAGCTAAAATTAAAAATAAGCAAATTCAAAGTATTAATGATCTAAATACTGTAATACTAAAACTACTTAAACTGTTTTTTCCTGCCCTGCTTTATTCTTTTTAACTTTTTGTCTCTTGTCTCAATAGGTAGTCCACCTGCCTCGGGCACAGGTACATTGATAATCACTATAGAGGACGAGAACGACAACGCTCCCTATGTCTTCCCCTCCATGGCCCGCGTGTGTGAGGACGCTAAAGACATGAATGTGGTGGTAATCGGGGGACGAGACAAGGACATTCATCCTAATACAGATCCTTTCAAGATCGAGCTTGGCAAACAGCCAGGACTGGAGAAAACATGGAAAATCTCCAGGATCAATGGTAAGTTAATTCTCAGATGGGACAGAAACAAGCACTGACCCACAGTTAAACACATGCCGGCTATTTCTAGGGCCAGTTTGTGGAAATACGAAAGGTGCTTTCACTAAAGGAAAAGTTTACCTTAATATAATTAAGCTTAATTGATTTATTGTTGATTAATCATTTTCAGCACAAGCACATTTATTACAAATGTGATTAGGGGGTGTAAACGCTGCATACACAGGCATAAATTACTCAAATTCTCTTTAAATTGATTACTTAAACTGCAAACATTGTGTGCATTTAATTGAACGTCAATTGTAATGACAATCAATCATGAAAATTCCTAAAAAAATAAAAAAAAATTGTGGAGTGCCACTTTGAAATAGCTTAGAATTTTAGAATTTTGGGCAAAATTGATTACGATCATGATATTCAATCATGAAAATTACTGAATGTTGGCATCCCTAGGATCAATAGTGTTATTGTGGCATACTCATAAAAATAAAGGTCGTAAAAGGGGGTTTTCGCAGTGATGCCATAGAAGAACTATTTTGAGTTCCCCAAAGAATCTTACAGTGCAGTGTTGCCAAGTCTTGTTGTTTTCCCATGGAATTGGGATACTTCTACACTGTTTCCGCAAGTTTTTTTTTTTTTCCTCCACGGGTTAAAGTGTTATTTCGACAGAGGAGACAACAGTGAAAAAGATGTGATTGGGCTATAGTTTTGATTAGCAGTTTGGTTGGTTTTGTTTCACAGACCTGGCAATCTTGTGTCAGTGGTCAGTTAAAAGAGCCTTCTTTCTTTTTTTTCTTTTTTTTGCTTAGTGTAAACAACATTTTAATAACTTGAACCTTTTTTCTACTATAAAGAACCTTCTGTGCAATGAAAAGGTTCCATATGTTTAAAGTTGAACCATAGATGTTCTTTATTGGCCTTCATTTTTAATAGTGTAGTCTGCCAGCTATACCAGCACCTACCCAGCATGGACATGAAAATTCTAGTATTTTCACCAGGGTCAGGTGGGTCACATGCTGCTGAGAGCGAGAGGATCGGTTTATTGTCCCAGACAGTGTGTGTATCATTAGGTATCACCCTGACCAAATAGCTGAGTGTATTTTAGGTTTATCTTAGCAGACTCTCGATTACCCATCTCTCCTGAGAACACATACTCAAATATAGAAAGGCATGTGAATCTCCAGACTTCTGTCAGCTGTTTGAGAAGAGAATCAATGGCAGATGCTGTGATACGAGAGAGACAGTATAAGAGAGGACTGGTGAGGTGATTTGAGGTCAAGTGGCTTATAGTCTTGTGTAGAGTTGAAGATATTCTCTCTGACTGACATGTAAAGTGACCAGAATGCTACTTTAAAGGGGTGGTTCATTGCGATTTCACTTTTTTAACGTTAGTTAGTGTGTAATGTTGCAGTTTGAGCATTAGCAATATCTGCAAAGTTACGAAGTTGAAAGTTCAATGCAAACGGAGATATCGTCTTCGATTCTGGCAGTTTAATGCCTACAAAAAACGGCTGGTAGGGACTACAACAAGTTACTTCCCGGGTTCGTGACGTAACAAACCCAGATAAACCCTGCCCTCGGGAAAAGGCAACAAAGGGGGCGAGGCCTACGCTGCTTTAGAGAAGAGGAAGAGAAAACTAGAGGTGCACGTAAAAATCTATTCATATATGAATCGCGATTCTGTCTTCTAACGATTCTAATGGATTCACAAGTTTCAAAATGAATGTTCTAAAGCAGCGGTTCTTAATACTGTTCCACACGTCCCCCTGCTCTGCACACGCTCTGCATCTCTCTCTCGCTCTCTCTCTCTCTCTCTCTCTCATTCAGCTCAGCTCCAGCAATGAACTGTTACAATTATACATTTATTTTCACATAGCTATGAGAAGCATTAAACATGGACGCGCGTGCAGTTGCCATACTGTATTAAAGCTTTAATCAGGATAAAACCATATATTAAAAGCTAACATAAGCAGTAGCATTTACAAATAACAGCATATCTAAAAGTATGAGACAACAACAAACAAAAAACATAGGCCTACCATTAAAAGCCGTGCTTGCACAGGTTCTGCACGATCCTCTTCAGTAATATACTCTGCTTCTCAATCCGGCTCAAACTGATAAGCAATATTAACGAAGCGTTGTTTACAATACAACTGGAGCACATGCCGCTGAGGTGAGAGGCGGGACGTGTAGACGCGTGCTAGAGGCGGTTTAGCCAATCACAACACACTGAGCTAGCTAACCAATCAGAGCCCATCGCCTATTTCTGAGGGAGGGGCTTCATAAAAGAAGGAAATGATCAGCGCGTTTCTCAGAGAAGGGACAGAGAGGTGTGGAATAAAGGTAAATTATGTGAAAAATAATGTGTTTTTTAAAAAACGAAGCATTAACACATGTTAGATTGCACCCCATAAACACAATCAAGTCTAGAAAAAAACCATTGAACCACCCCTTTAAGTTTTTTTTTTCCTGCTGGTTTTCAGACACCCACTCCCAGATCATGTTGCTGCACAGTCTGAAAAAGGCCAATTACAACCTGCCACTGGTTCTGACTGACTCTGGAATCCCTCCAATATCCAACAACACAGAAATTAAAGTTCAGGTGTGCACCTGTAAGAAGAACAGAATGGACTGCAGCCATGCTGGCTCGATCCAAACAAACCTCTTGCTACTGCTCGGTCTGGTTCTGCTCTCCATCCTCTGTAAGTATTCTTTTGCTCCACCCTTCACAACACTCACACGTACAGCTTATCCCTCTTATCAGAATGCTGGAAATTCCAAATGATTTGCTTAAATGCGGAGTTTTAAAGTTTGATAGATGTTGCATATTTCATGGTTTCTAATAAAGTCCAAATAAATATTGCAAGTGTTCCAGATCCACGATTCTGCCCAGTAGATATTATAATTTTTTTGGGTGGAACATCAGAACTTTGCAGTTTATTATTGTACAAAACTCTCTTAATCCTTGAATTTGTAACCTCGTCCATTCAAGTATTGCTAAAGTCCAGTTCACAGACTGCTTGCAGAATCACTCCCATACATTTAGCTTATGTTCCACATCTCTGAGGCACATTCTAACTATTTCTAACTATTTATTCAAATGTATTTATTTCCAGACATACATTCAAATTTACATCTATATATTCAGACCTATAACAATATATTCAGATTTATTCAGATCTATATATTCATAATTTAAATGTATATTTTCTGATTTGCATCTATATATTTACTGTTTATGACTGTTTAATCGAAATCAAAACTTTATTCAGAATATATAACATTCATATTTACATTTATACATTCACAATTATTTATATATATATATATATATATATATATATATATATATATATATATATATATATATGCATTTATTTATTTTTTTACCCTGGACATTCAGTTTTGGAAATTCTCCAGCTTTCACGTGTTGCTACTTTAGCTCAGTGTTAATGCTGATGATGAACACCGTGTATACTTTGCTGTACAGTTTGACAGGAAATTGGCTTCTCCACCAGAATGTCTGCCATGACCCCGTATCTGTTTACTCTGGTAAAGCCTGGAACTGCGTTAAGAGTTGATCCATATCAGGCTAGATTTACAGCATGTGTAGGGCCACTAGTGCAGCCACCAGAGACACATAGAAGCATTTAAAGTAATATGCACTGATTAAAGGTTGCTTTACAGCAGGTCTTGGGCTTCTTGCTGTGTGTGTGTGTGTGTGTGTGTGTGCGCGCGCGTGTGTGTGTGTGTGTGTGTGTGTGTGTGCGCGCGGTGTGCACGCACGTCAAAGTGTATTATATGTTTGTCCCACAGTTAATCTCCCATCTAAACCTGCACACGGCCCCCTGGCGTCTCTTTCTCTCGGCAATAACATTAATAATTCACTCCTTTAGAGGGGCTGGAACATAATGGAACTCTATACAGCCATTCTAAAATGGAAAACAGAGGAAAAATAAATCTGCGCACTCACTGTTTAGAAGGGATGTTCTGCTCTGAGGTTTTCTATAGCTGGGTTCTTCGCCCAAGGCCCGGTTTGGATAAGAGTCGGATCCATCTGTGATTTGTGGCACTATTGAGCCAATATCTCCAGATCTGCATGAAACATGGTAGCAGATCTTCTCCAGAGTTTCCCCCAATCACTTTTTTGTTTGTGTTATCTCTGCATATATTTTCATTTAGATACCCATATTTTCACCTCGATTTTGACTTCATATGCTTCAAATTTGGGGGGAATTTAGTAAATAGCTCAGTTTTCTCAGGTTGTAAATGTACTAAAATGTTGCTTTTTATTTTTTATATTCATAATTTTATATTGATCATGGAGTTGTTATTCCTTGAATAGCTGGTTGAGAATAACTGATCAAATGATGTAAAAGCATTGTTATCAGGCATATATCCAGACATGCACAAACAGTCTAAAACAACAACGAACTCATATCATTGTATGCTTTCATTTTACTGTTTTAGGCATTATTTCACCGTTCTCCGAGTGGATCTGGTAGCAATCATTGTGTTGGTGTGAATGCTGAATATGTGAATGTTAATAGGCTGAAATTATGGGATTATTTGCTACTGCCCTGGTAGACATTGACATGAACTGTATTATGCCATGCTGGTTTATCCAAAGTGGGATTTCTGGTGAAAAAATATAGCTTCTGCCACAATTCTAGCACACAGTATTTGAGAAATAATCTCAGGGATGTTACTATAATTTCTCAGTGATTTGTTAGTGTTTATGTATTTGTATGCCCCTAAACATTTATATGCTTATTTGTTTGTTTGTTTGTTTGTTTGTTTGTTTAATCAAAAATGACTGTTTGCTGAAAATGTATTCACCCTCAGGGCATTCAAGATTAGATGTTTCTTCATATGAACCGTTTTACATTAAATTACTTGCTCACCAATGGGTGCTCTGCAGTGAATGGGTGCCATCAGAATGAGCAAATAACTGATAAAAGCATCACAATAATCCACAAGTAATCCACACAACTCCAGTCCATCAATGAATGTCTTGTGAAGACAACAAATCAATACTAAAACATTTAAAATTCATATATTTTTTTAACTTTTCAGTCGATTTATGCTGATCATATAATTTGGAATTTATCATATTTTTCACTAGTGGTCTCAGATGTTTGAACTCCACTGTAAATGTTATGTGTGTGTTTGTGTGTGTGTGTGTGTGTGTGTGTGTGTGTGTGTGTGCGTGTGTGTGTGTTCCTCATTCAGGCAGTGATACATTGTAACAGGCACTCTAAAAGTGTGCATGTGTTTATTTGTCATGTGACATGACACAGAGCTGGTGCATGCTGGTCTCAGAGATCCACTACATGTACACTAATGACTCCTGTAAGGAATGTGTTTCACTGTTGTGCAGGAAGACACACGAGACACGCTGCTGTGTCACACACTGATCGAGTGGGAGGGAAAGTGTGTCTGACTTCAATTTCCTTATCACCTTAATGAACCCTGACCCCTGCTGAGAGACAGCACCGAAAACAGGCAGATAAGCCCAGAAGCTCAATGATGGAGTGCTGCAAGAGAGAAATGGCCAAAAGATTAGACAGAATTCGCTTCATCTGTCTCCTCTACAGGAGACACATATTCACACAATCATGCATTACCATCATGTAGTTCATTGGTTTGTGCCATTCCATTTTTTATGAGTAGTCGACATTAAATACTTGATAAGCTGATGATGTCTTGCAGTGTGACACCTCTTCGATGCCTGATGTCACACCTGCTTTGTCTGTATTTGCTCATTCATCGCATTTTGATAATGTATTCATAATTATTGTGCATTTATAGTTAGACAAAATTATCACAGGACCATTTAAAGAGATTTAAAGAGTTTATCCAAAAAATTTATAATTGTGTCATCATAGCTATGCGATGGTGCCCCAGACGGCAGCCTCAGTGTTTGGCTCTCCAGTGTTTGTACTGTTTTTGTTAGTTTTTCCTGTTTTTTTTTCTCAAACACGATCAGTTTTACCAGGGATAAGCTGCTGAAAATTCGGCAGTACACACCACACACTCTTCTACCGGATTTCGTTTATTCGGACGTTTTGCTGAACGTTGTAGTTGGCGGAGCAGCGGCGCTGATCAAACGCTTCAGGACGTGCAGACGGGGGAAGCAAGCCGGCACACTCGTGAAGCTCAGGAAGCGCGGATTCAGAACGCCATTGCCTAGCATCCATCTGGCGAATCTCCGCTTTCTAACCAACAAAACGGACGAATTTCTTCTGCTCTCCCGGACAAATAAGGATCACACTCTGCTGCTCTGTGTTTCACGGAAACCTGGCTGAATGACGCTATTCCGGACAGCGCGCTACAACTTCCCGGCTTTCAGCTGTTTAAAGCAGACCGCAACGCGGATTTCAATGGGGAAATCGCGCGGCGGCGGGACATGTTTTTACATCAGTGAAAGGTGGTGTACAGATGTTACAGCTTTAATTAGATGGGGTGTTCCGATCTAAAAGCGCTTTTCATTAACTCTAAGCCATTCTATTCGCCACGGGAGTTTCACTCGTTCATTCTCATGAGTGTCTACATTCCTCCGCAAGCGCACGTGAACTCAGCTTTACAGAAACTCGCTGATCAGATCACAGAGACAGAGCAACAACACCTGGACTCTGTTTTAATCATTCTCGGGGACTTTAACAAAGCAAATCTTTCCCGTGAACTGCCAAAATACAGACAGCATGTTACATGTCCCACCAGAGACAGTAATATACTGGACCATTGTTACTCCACAATAAAGGATGCATATCGCTCGGTCCCCAGAGCAGCTGTAGGACTCTCTGACCACTGCCTGGTTCATCTTATACCGACTTACAGGCATAAACTTAAATCTGCTAAACCTGTAGTAAAGTCTGTAAAGAGATGGACCAACGAAACAGAGCGGGCATTACAAGCGTCTTTCGACTGCACTGATTGGAGTGTTTTTGAAGCTGCCACCAATGATCTGGATGAGCTCACGGAATCTGTAACGTCATATATCAGTTTGTGTGAAGACATGTGCATCCCTACCAGGACTCATTTAACATTCAACAATGATAAGCCATGGTTTACAGCAAAACTTCATCATCTTCGTCAAGCCAAAGAGGACACCTACAAAAGGGGGGACAGGGTCTTGTACAATCAGGCCAGAAACACACTGAAAAAGGAGATTAGTGTGGCCAAGAGGAACTACGCTAAAAAGCTAGAACACCAGTTTTCTGCCAATGACCCTGCATCAGTGTGGAGAGGCCTGAAAGACATCACCAACTACACGACACCATCCCCCAGCACTGAGGCCAATCAACAACTTGCTGAAGACCTGAATGGGTTTTACTGTAGATTTGAAACTCCCAGTCTAACACCCCACACCCGCTCTGAACATCTCTCCACACAACCATCAACAACTCCAACGTTTCAGATCAGTGAGGATGATGTGCACCAGGTCTTCAGAAAGAACAAGAGAAGAAAAGCACCAGGCCCAGACAGTGTAAGAACAAGAGAAGAAAAGCCCCAGGCCCAGACGGTGCGACACCAGCCTGTCTGAAAACCTGCGCTGACCAGCTGGCCCCCATCTTCTCACAGATCTTCAACAGATCACTGAAGCTGTGCGAAGTCCCTGCCTGCTTCAAACGCTCCACCATCATTCCCGTCCCAAAGAAACCAAAGATAACAGGACTTAATGACTACAGACCTGTGCCCTAACGTCTGTGGTCATGAAGACATTTGAGAGGTTGGAGTTGGTTTATCTGAAGGACTACTGGACCCTTACTTGACCCCCTGCAGTTTGCTTACTGAGCAAACAGGTCCGTGGATGTTTTTTTGTGGTTTAAATTTATGCATGTGTATTTTATTCACATCTTATTTTCATTATCTGTGTGTTGTTGTTGTCTCCGTGTACTGGAAGCTTGTGACACTATAACAAATTCCTTGTATGTGCAAACATACTTGGCAATAAAGCTCTTTCTGATTCTGATTCTGATCATGTAATGACATTCTTTCTTCTGTGTAACATAAAGGTTTGAAAGATGTCGAATATACAAGTCATTTATTTTTTATTTTACTCTTTCGCTTACCTTCATGGACCCCCAGGTTGAAAAACTCTTTAAAGCTGTTGCTTGGTCTTTTGGTCCTGAGTGTGAGTGTGTTTTCTTGAATCACTCTGTAACTATATTTCCTGAGGAAATATCAGGCTGTTGTTAATGTTTTAGGTAAAAAAAATAGTAGTTAGAAGGTCCAAGTACTGATAGAGGAAGAGAGAGAGAGTGAGAGAGATTATAGAGTTTTTTTCACCCACTTTTTTTTTAGTGGCCTTGGTTACGTAGGTATTTTTAAAATTATCTTCCAGAAATAATTATAAGCCATGAACCTAACTTATCTGCTATGAGGTGAATCACAATATTAAAAACATTTGCTTTGAGAGTGGGCAGGCACTAAAGTCTTCTTTTGGTGTGATTTGCATGTTTTCATTCTTGGCAGAATCATGGGTAGTGTAGTTTTTCACCAAGAATTCCACTGTTATAAAAAAAATTGAAATAAGGTGGACTGATGGCTTCAAAAAATCATGTACCGTTGATTAACAACCTTGTAACTCACAGTATGTCTGTCTTTAAAGCTTTATGTTATCATTTAAAAAAAAAAAGGAGTTCCCCCTTTTTTTTTTTTCAAAAATCACTGGGATTTTTCTTTAAAACAATATGAACGTAAAATTTAAGAAAATAAAGGCCAGTCATCATGCAGTATGCAAATACCGCAATGACAGTGTTGGTCAGTGTGGGTGTTGGTGTGTACATGTATCGGTGGATGTGTGTTTTTTTAGCTTCCATGTTGCTAAACTTCTACTCCTCGGACTTCCTCTCTTCTCAGGGATAAAGGAGTTAAGTGAACTTGCATTTGTGGTCTCTTAAATAATGCATGGGAGCCTCTGGGAGAACACAAACAGATCCTCTATGAACCGACACAAGTTCCTCGTTCTTTAGACCCCTATTAAAGATCTTAAGTCCTGCACCAGATACCTGCATGTGCCACGGCAGATCACAGGGGGCACAACTGGCACCGTCTCACACACATTCATTGGTCTTTACGTCTTCGATCCCACAGGAGCCATTGTTAGTGTTTCTGATGACAGTTTGCCAAACCTAAACTTCTATGCTGATTTGCCCTTTGAGTCCATTGATTTTGTTTGTCCTCCGAAAATGTGGTGCCATTGAATTGTGTGTCTGATTACACTGGTGATGTTAAAGTTTGTGAGGAAGAAAAATGCATCATTTTCAATACAAGATGAGGCTGGATTCTGATACAAATGTCAAGAGGAAACCAAATTATCTTTTCCACTTACAAAATATGCTTTGATGTAACAATTGAGCTCAAGATCAGATCACAGAGGAGACTGTTAAGAGCACGTGTTGAACAGAGGAAGGGTCAAACAATGTCAAGATGACCATACTGCCCCCTGTAGGACTGGTTGTAACCTACACTTTAGAGATCACTCCTTTGGGGTCAGTAAGACATTTTGCTTTCTTTTTTTAATGAATGAAATTAAAAATTTTATTTAGCAAGGACACATTAAGTTGATCAAAAGTGTCAGTAAATACATTTATGATGTTACAAAATATTTCTGTTTCAAACACTTTCTGTTCTTTTGAATTTTCGATTCATCAATCCTGGAAAGTGGCAAAGGTTTTACTTTTTGACACTTTTAAATCTTAAATGCAGTGTCTTTTTACTTGACTGGTTGCTTTTTGACTCCGCCCACCATTTTACTTTTGTACAAATAGCATATTACTTCTGACTACACTTTATGTGAATAGCATTTATCACTATTTGCAGTTTGCTCTTAATTTAACCAGGATGGTATTTGATAAATAAACAGTTTCTACCACTATTTAGAGTAAATAGCATCTACCTTTTTTTCACATGTTTAAAGTCTCCATGCATAATAAACAGTGAGGAAGTCCAGCCTGTAAGCACATGAAAATGAAATTGAAAATGTCAGTCCTAGTTTAATTAATAATTGCTGTAATTGAAAATTACATACCAGACGATGATTTGGAATATGTTCCTAATGTGATATTTCTGGTCAAATGAAGAGTGGTGATATACTCAACAGACCTCTAAAACCCCGCTTTAATCTGATGAAAGATGCCCAACAGGGGTAAAATATAATTAATTCACAAACAGGGAAATAAGCCTAAGTCTGGACCCACTGAAGTTTAAATCCCTTTTTCTGCCAAGATGGGCGCTTTTACTCTTTAATCCACTCTGGGTACTGATGTGGCCTGTCTCGAGGGGAAGAGAAATTTCCCCAGCATCGACCCGTTTACTGGCTCTTCAAGCCATTTGTTTTGACATGCCATCCGCTGTGCACCTGGCAGATAAAGCATAACCTCTTCTTGTTAATGAATTTTCAAGCGTGACAAGAATAATTAATGCCACTTGATAAAATTACAATTTCTTTTTTTAATACTCAAGGGTCAAGGTTTTCAGAACTCTTAACCTTAAGTACTGAACATTGGAGTAACTCGTCCCCTACATGTGCTATTGACATGAATGGTACCTCAAATCATTTTAGATTTAAAGTTGAATGTAGAATGATTAATGTTTAGAGTAAAAGTTCATATAATTCATTTTTAAAGGGATAGATTATTCAAAAATGGTTATTATTTCATTATTTACTCACTCTCATGTCATCCCAAACCTGTTTGACTGTGGAACAAAAAAGATGTTTTAAAGAATTGTTTTTGTCTGCACTGAAAAATAAAGGTTCCACAAGGATTTTTTTTTGTCCATAGCAGAACCATTTTGGGTTCCTTTCAATGAACAGTTCTTAAACACTTTTATCATAGTGTGAAGAACATTTTAATAAACATTTTTCAGGTGAAAGGTTCTATTGATATTAAAGGTTCTTCATGCAATCAAAGATGCCAATGAAGGACCTTTATTTTTAAGAGTCTGTACAATAAAGGTCATTGGCGTCCAAAACAACATTTGACCCCACTGACAAGTGTATGGACCAAAAGAAAAAAAGAGAGAGAGAAAGAGAGAAAATCTGTTATTTTGTTTTCCACAGTAAAATGAAAGTCATACAGGTTTAAAAATCATGAGGTTGTGAAAATGTTTACAGAATTTGCATTTTTGATTTAACTATTATTTTAATTTAAAAATTATGGCTCCAACCTTTTAAATCTATCTAGCTATAAATGGAAAACTCAGACTCTTGCCTGTAAACTTGAAGCCCATCGTGAGTAGCTTTACTACTTGGCTGATGGAAAGACAAATTGAGGGAGTGAATGATGAGGGTTGTGTAAGGGAGGGGAGGGGGGTGGAACAGAGGAGTGTATTTCTATCTGACCAAAGCTCTGCAGGGTTCACGTATGTTATTGTGCCTTGTTTCACTGCAGCTGACTGCTGCCACAACCACTTTCCTCCAATCAGGCTGATGGTAATTAGATCAAACACACTTTCGTCTTGCTGCCTGCATTGCGCGCTCCCTGCACACTTACTTGTGTTTCCCCCCTAGGAAGATGGAGTGAAGAGTATGTGTGTATGAGGAGATGAGAGTAGTGAGGATTTTTATCCACTCCTTGCTTGACTTTATTGCATGTGAAAGCAGTGAGGTGAATTGATTCAGTTGTACATTTTGATGTTTCAGGCTCACACTCGTCTGCCTAAGGGGGAAAGCATTACCTGGATGCGTTTCGGGCCCTCGGCACATGAATAAATGGGGCTGGAGTCTCATTATAATTAGAAAATGGCATTTGTGGAACGGAGCAACCTCAGCCGTGCTCTTAAGTGCCGTTCAAGTCTTATTTTCCTTCCACTGCCATTTAGAACCAAGCTGTACAAACGTATCTAGTAGAAAGAAACAACAAGCAGCAAAGGGAAAAAAATCAATAGTCCCCAACAGAGAATTACATTTTGTTCCTAATTAGTTTAATTTATTAATTCAATGCTTTGTTGTGGTTTTTCATGTTTCTATACATTCCTTGCATGAATATTATAGGAAATATCTCATGTTGCCCTAAAAATTTCGAACCTGCTGCTGAGGGAGACTGAGTTTATTACAACCACAGATGTTGTGTTAAACTTTCAAATGGTGTTTAATCACAGTTTTCACGTTTCTTCTTTTCTCTTTCGCAGGCTTGTAAATTCCACTGATTCTTGTAGTCCTTTTGCAACACTGAAGAAAACCTTCTTCTCTTCTCCACACGCAAACTAGGCTGAGAAGACTTCACCCCCAAAAGACACTTTGCACCCTCCATTTTTGCTCTCCTCCTTTTCAACATCATCTCTCTCTATCCCCAACCTCACGGCCTCCACCTTTTCACCAGGAACTCTCTCTCTGTCCTCTCCTTCCTTCCCCTGCACTTCCTGTCTTCTCATATCTCTGGAATACATCACGGATGGCACCGCCTTGATGCTCCAACTCTCTCTCTCTCACTGGACAAAGATATATTGGATGGGGGCAAAGCGATTGGACATTTCAATGTACTTTAGTTTACTCTGGTTAAAGACTACTGTATTTGATCTTGTTTACTAATGTAAGGGAAGGACACAAAGCCTCTTTAGTCTGCAGTGGTTGTGTTTTCTTAGGGCGGGGTGGTAGTCAGAAGCCTTCAGAGTCTAAAAAAAAAAAGCATCTCTTGCGTCTTTTATTTTTGTTTTTTGTTCAATTGCATTAGTTGTTATGGAGTGGAACACAATATATCTTTATAGTAATGTGTGAGATGGTGGGGGGAAATGTACACTATATATATTTTATTTTTTACCAATGTACAAATATATGAATTAACTTATGTACTTTGATCGCTTATTCTTTAATGACCCCTCACGAGAAAAAAGAAAAGAACTGTATGTTTTTGCTAAATTTTAGGGACTATTTCTAATGCCATTGATGTTTTTTCCTCTTTTTTCATGTACGAGATCGTGTTTAGAGTGCGGTTCTTGAGTCTGGAGAGCGATTTGCAGACAGAGAGCAAATCTGTCTTGTGATTCTTGATTCTGATGGTATGGCATTTATTTTATTTTTCTCTCTCTCCCCTTGGGTCAAGTCAAAGAGGCCAGGGAAAGCTGTTGATTCAGTGTTTTTTCTTTTTTGCGCTTGTGAGAAGACAACAAAAAAGAGAGACAGAAAAAGATAACAGATGAAAAACAAAAAAATGCGTGTGTGGGTTTGTGTGGAAGACCCTGTAAGTTCTGAAAATGCAAAGAAAAAGATGACGTGGTGAATGAGTTATGTCTGTCTTTTGCACTAATTTAATAAAGCTGTTATTGTCCTTCCCACCACTTTAACTTTGCTTGTTTGTTTAAAGTCTGTCTGCAGATCAAAGGAAGAAGAGCCAGATTCCTTGATGGAGAAATGTTATGAAATATGATTCTATTCTTGGAGTTATAATGGAGACTGAATAGATTCCAATGGGGATACGGCTGCTACAATAAACAGACCAACATATGCACATAAGATAATTGGAATTTTAAGGATATAGAAAACTAAAGCGAACAGCTTTGCAAAGTTAAAGAATTTTGTCTATTAGGACATTATTATTATTATTATTATAAAAAATACCATATGAAAATATACTGGATTCCTGATTTTATGCTGTAAATATTTTATTTTTTATTTTAGAGAAAATAGATGTATTTATATATTGTAGAATATAGTTTTAAGTAATATACAGTCATTCATACACAAGTGCAGTTGTATAATGTAAAATTGTAAAATTAATTTATATAATTGCATGTTTACTCCTTATTTGTAGCATAAATTCAGGTATCCATTTCTACCTTTCTAACATTTTCATATAGCCATATTTTACTAAGCAATGCTGTTAAAAATGTCTAAAAATAAATACTTGTCCTACTTCCCCAATGTAGCTGCTTTAAAAAAGATGGAAATGTCTTGGTTTGAAGGTCAAGGTACACTTGCATATTAATTGTGATTTAATGAAGTAGCTCAGGCATTTAACTAGCTTTTGCATTCATTTTGAAGTCAGAAAAAAATGACTCTGGCCATCTCAAGTCATCATCGCTAAAAACAAAAATCATCTGATAATTACTCGCCAATTTGATTAACCGAAATAATTAGCTCATAAACCACCATTAACATTTCCCAGGAGATGCCAGAGTACAGTCTAACAAACTAACTCCTGTATAAATAATCTGAAAATGAACCTGTGAAATTTTGCAAGTTGCTCTCGGTTTGAAAAGTGATGCTTAAACTTTGACAAAAGAATGGGGAACTTTTGCAGCTATAATTGTTTATGAATGACCCAGTTTAAGGTCTTAATAACACGCCTTGATTGTCCATTTTTTAACCTTGTGACTACAATATAAAAGAATAATGGTGAGCCAGCAATGTAATCAGCCCCCTCCTCCTCACTCTACTGAATGAGATTCATTTTTATTTCATACTCTGTTTTGTCCCACATCAATTCTTAATCACTCTGTATAAATACTAGAGGCACCATCCTGGCAGAAGTTTGTTATATTAAGTCAACGCCTTTTTGTCATAACAATTACTCTTTGTGAAAACACAAACGTGCAAGACCTTGCTGAATGAGTTGAAATCAATAAATTATCATGCTTGGCCATTCGAATCTAGGTAATGACATGTAATTGGAACATGTGTTTGGGTCGATAAGTGTGCACAGGTGTTCATGGCCTCGATGAAGTTAATGGAACTATGATTACTTTTTCCAGGATTAGCCTCTGGCTTGATCTGAAAGAAAACGTCTCAGGTTACGTATGTAACCATGGTTCCCTGAGTAGGGAACGAGACACTGCGTCCTCTAGGGGTCGCTATGGGGTACGCCTCGTCGTGACCCGTGTCTGAAGCATACATTGAATAAACACCAACAACACATTGACCGGCGACAGCCATGACGTCACTACCGGTGCGACTGTAGTATAAATAGGCGCCGGGAGAACACATCATCCACTTCTTCGTCTGAAGCTTGTGTCTGAAGCATGGTAGGAAACCTAGAGGACACAGTGTCTCGTTCCCTACACAGGGAACCATGGTTACATACGTAACCTGAGACGTTCCCTTTCAAGGGAACTTCGAACTGCATCCTCTAGGGGTCGCTATGGGGAATGGTATACCCACGCCACCATGCTCAGGGGAGTGCATACCAGAAAACCATGGAGAGCACCAAGTACCAACTCTACCATAGTCATGGGAGTTGCCCCTGGGACATTAAGACGGCTGTCAGTGACATTATCCCCTACGGCCAAAGGCCTAGGCTACATACCCCAAAAACGTACCTGTTAGGGCCAGAACTCCCGGGCCCGGGATAGAGCTCAAGGCTTGGAATCAGGAATAGATTCCTTTAAGGGAATACGACCAAGAATCATTTTTGGCCTGTCACACAGGGGCTACCACATGCTCTGCATACGCTGAAGGAACTGTCTCAACAGACCCCTAGTAGCAACACCCTGTTAAAAGTGGGTATCCGGAGGATACAAGGTGGAGTGGTGCCCAAAGTGGAACCGGGGCTTAACTAGCTCAAGAAAGGGCACGAAGCTCTCACCATACAGGATTTTAGAAAGAACGCAGAGTATTAGCGTGCAAACTTACCACAGTGGGGATTTTAGAAAGTGTACAAAGACTTATGTGGACACTTACCATTACATGGATTTAAAAATACAGTTCTGTCAGGACCACTATCGTCAAAATGATAGATACTTAGCATAAAGTTTGGTTTGGCGGTATGGTTCTGTTCTGGGCAAAAACCTCCCTGCCCATCCATGCAGCCTGTCATGAATGAGCAGGGAGAACAGCAATAATAACCCCCCAGGGTGGCGAAAGGTGGAGCTGGGGATGGAGGAGGGTAATTTGCTCCGGAGCAAGCTGAAAAGCTGCTGAATAATACTGAATACAGCTTATATAGAAATGCCGCGATAGGTGTCATATTCCTATAGGTAGATGCATATAATAACTCAAATCAACTCATCAGTTTCTAGGTTGGCCATCTCCCATTGACACTTGTGCTCGTGTGTTACGTGTCCTCAATCTGACGACCTGCGTGAGCATAGACAAAAATCCTTACCAATACACTAGATAGCTTTGCAACAAGCATGTTGCTTGCTTAATCACAGCATGTACTTGATCTCAGTCAGTTCATTTCACCCTAATTTCTCATGCTCATATGCTCATATTACTCAGCGTGAGCACATATTCAAGCGGATCAGAAATTATGAATCTCTAATAAGTGGCAGTCCAGCAGGGGAAGCATACAATGCGGAAATACTTCAAATGACTGTCATTGATATTACATTCTTATATGTATAGAAGCCATTAGGAGCGATAAACACGTGCTTCTGACGCAGCTGAAATCAACCGCACACTCACACAGCTAATGAAACATCAACCTTAGAAATAAACAACCGTAACATTGAGGTTATGCCGCTGAATACAGCGAACCCCAGTTGAAACGCATACACGAGAATGCTTGTTTCATTTAAACTTGTTCTCATGGCCTTAACTATCGGCGTGTCCTCAGAGTGATTACATGCTCTAGACTACGTGTTGCTCCAGCTGTATGAACACAGAAGCGTAAATGCTGCTGCAAATATGCTTTTTTCAATTAGCAGACCAGGTAATATACACAGCGATATGGATTAAAACAGCATTCACTTATCTTAGATGTGGATTTCAGATGTTCTGAAACACGCTGCAACAGTTTGATTTGCGAGCAGCAATGCTTAATTTGCTCCGGAGCAAGCTGAAAAGCTGCTGAATAATACTCAATACAGCTTATATAGGAATGCCGCGATAGGTGTGGTATTCCTATAGGTAGATGTGATCAGCTGAGAATCAGCTGATGCAAGCTTGACTCACGTGACCTGCCAGAACTAACGCTAAAGCTCAATTTTTAAGGGGCCCTTGTGGCACTCTGAAAAAGCAGCCCATAGATGGAAATGGTGCATCCCAAAACACTATGTTTGAGAAGATATCAACTTGATCTAAGGTATAATGCTGGAGTGGCTAGCAGTAAATCTCTAGCTTAGGGAGCAAACACCCAGCTCTCAATTGAGAGGGGGCTCGACCTACAGCATGTTCCAATGCTGGAACAGCCAGCAGTTACTTAGATGAGGGAGCAACACACCCAGTTCTCAATCGAGAGGGGGGATCAACCTGCAGCATGTTCCAATGCTGGAACAGCTAGCAGTAATTTACTTAGCTGAGGGAGCA